GATTGCGTACAATGACGAAAAAGACGATTTCTCCATGATCATCTGTTCGACGGACGGCGGCAGCAGCTGAGTGCTTTCAAGGGACATTCTTCCTGCGGACTGCATTGACCTTCTCATTGCCGAGTGGGAGCAGGGACAACTTCTCGTGATTACTCATTGCTATGGGAGCCGGTACTGCAGAGTGCACGAGTCACGTGACAAGGGGACAATGTGGGTGGAAGTACCCGGGGCAATTGCAGGCGTTTGGGCCAATTCACAATCGGTTCGTTGGGAAAAGAGCTTGCGTGTGGGAGCCATTGTCACTGCGACCGTTGGAGGAAAGAGCGTCATGCTGTAGGCTCGGAAAGTGAGCTCCCCGTGGTGGGAGAGTGAGGCCCATGCGCTCTACGTTTGGGTGACTGACAGCAACCGCGTGTTTTGTGTTGGACCGGCTTTCATGGAGGCTGCTCTGAATAAGCCGATTGCCAACGCCCTGCTGTACTCGGATGGTGTGTTGCACCTTGTGGGAGCAATGGAGAATGAAGAGAAAAGCAGCCTGTTTCCTGCCTCCCCTGACGGAGGAGCTGCAGATGATCACTTCCATTCCCCGTAATTGGGCGGACGTGGACGCTTCCTTCTCCGCGTCGCCCGTAAGTACGGTGGGTCTGGTTGGATAACTTTCCAACGCAGGCACTGCCAACACGTGTATCGACGAGTGCCGTTGCATGATTGCAACGCTGACGAATGAAAAGAATGTCACAAATGGGCCTCAATTCGCAGGGCAACATTGCCCCGTGAACCGTTGGAAGGATAATAATCACTGTGGCTTCGTGAGTTACGACTTCGCTCTTGTGGCGACGGTGGCTATTTTCGAGACACACGCAGGCGTCAAGAGTATCCCTTTGGTTGGCGCGAAGGGAGCAGGCCGCACTGTGCACTTTTGGCTGTCGCACAGCCATGAAAGGAGTTGGGGTATGATGTTCAATGCAAACAAACACACCGGCCTTTGGGAGTTGAACAAACAGTAACGAGTGGTGCTCACGCTGCAGGACCGGCAACAAGGCCTTCGTGTAGATCAATGGTGAGTGTGCGTGGGATGCTAAAACGACATCATCATCGGGAAAGGGGCCACGCGCGAATTCACACTTTTACATTGGAGGGGATGGGAGCAGTGCAAGCGGCACCGGGGGGCCAAAAAAAGTATTTGACAGTGACGAGTGTCTTTTTGTACAACCGCATATTGACCCGGGAAGAAGCCGCAAAAGTTGGTTTCAGCAACCTTGCTCTTCCAGAGTCTCTTGCTGGGAAAATGCTTGAAGGGCCGGATGATCCAGCGGGAACTGGCGGTGGCTCCAAAGATGGAAACGCCTCTCAGCCCACGAACAACACTTTTTTGAAGAAGGGCTTTAGTGGCTACGGCACGGTGCGTGTGCGTGTGTGTCTCGGATCTTGTTGCTTCTACTTCTGGGGCTCTGGGCATTGCAGCTCTCAGCTGTGTGAAACGGTGGGAGCGGAGCCGCGACTCCCCGTGGAAAAGGGTGTGCAGCTCCTCAGGAAGACTCAATGCATTCAGTTGAGGACTTTTTATTTATCCCTTTTGTTTTCAACTCTGGATATAAAGTGCTGCTGGTGCCTTGTTGGAGGGGTCAGAACCCCTGCCTTTTTACTATTTTTTAATTTATTTTTTGTTTGCCGCTAGCTGCACACTCTCATGAGTGACGTGTTTCCCCCTGTTTTATTTGCTTTTGTTGCACCGCACGCGGTGCCGGCCTCATTGCTGTGCATTTGCGCGGACTGTACAAAACGAGGGTTGGAGGAAGAGGCCGAGTGCCTCATGAAATGTGAGGGATTTCGTGTGGACACGTGGAACACTGCGATCTTTTTTCCCCTCTCCAAGAAACATATGGAGATGCACAATTCCTGCTGCGCTGAGGGATATACGAAATGAAAGTCCACTGAGGCGATTTATTATTATTATTTATTTATTTCTGCTGAACCTACGCCCTTTTTCTTGTTTTTCTGTATTCGGCAATTCGCTGCGGCTTGTTTTATTGTTCGCTGTGCTGAATGCCACTATGTGTCTTTTTGTCCCATTGGGTGTCCCACTGCTAGCCGTGCAGTTGACACGCTCTCATCACTTTTTCTTTTCTGCTAGAGGCATCGATAGTCCGCGACGACGATCGTTTGTGTTCCCCCATTGCGATGGTGCGAGGGTGACTGGGCGCCCTGATGAGTGCACTCGGAGGGGAGCGGATGGTGTGCGCCGTGCCTCACTGTGAGTGCGGGGCGCCACTACCACAACCCGCTGTGAGGCGTAACGCTATTCCTTCGGGGCGGAGAGAAGTAAAGGACTGTGGTGGACTTGGATGCGCCTCGTTCCTCTTGTTGCGGCTGTGGGTGTGTGCTGTGCGCATTGCTGTTTTGCGGTACGATGTGTATGGCGGTGCTTCTGCGTGTGCCTTCTTGAATGCGCCGTGCGACGGGCTTCTCTTCTCCATGCCTTTGCCCTTTTGTGAGTGGGGGTGAGTGTGGGTGGCTGTCGACCTGCCCCGAGCATTGGGGTCCTCCACACACGTGAGGCTCATCTTGGCAGCCTCTCGCAGCTTACATGCCTCGTGACAGGGAGAGAGGGAAGAGTAGCGTGTTTCCTCCTGCTATAGACCTATCAATTCCGAGCAGTTGGAGTGCTACTAAAGGGAACAAGGGTGTGTGTCTTCACCTTCTTGCGGGAGGGCGCGCAGAGGTTGGTTTTCTTTTGTTACTTTGTTGTTACGGTGCCTGCGGCGACGTTAATGGGGGGTTTGTTCTCCAGAGGCATTCATTGTGCGATTTGTGCGTGTTCGGTGTCCAACGCTTTCCGCGCCGCCGAATATGGTGTTGCGCAGGATCGGAATACAAGGATGTGCAAGAGCATCGTGTCGCTCGCCCGTAATACACACACGCACACAGTTTCAGTGCGTCTGATACGTCACGTTCTTCGGAACGGTCGAAATCACTTGTGGGACGTCACTTCATTTTTGGCCTAGGGACAGCGAGGGAAAATGGAGAGATATGCCGAGAACGTAACGCTTCTCCATGATACCGCAGGCTGGCGGCGAAAAGGATCAGAGAGTCTCTACCCAACATTGAGAAGTGTGCAGCACTCTGATGATCCGGTTTTGCGCTTTTGGAACTCCTGATGTAGTGTACACCGTGTGGGCCTTTTTGCTGTGGATATGCATAGGGGTGATGTGGGGTGGAATTATTGTTGAGGGCAGCACGGACGCCGCCTGACCTTTATTGGAAGGATGCGTGGTGTTATTCCGTGCTTCCTGGCCTGCGTTGTCGCACTCATGCTGTGTGTGCGGATGGCCACAGTAGTGGAGCTGAATACGGTTCAATGTGTGTCGCTCACGGGGACTGCACGACACATTTATTTTGTTGGGAGGCCCAAAGGAGGGGCGCATCGCCGTTGCGTGCTTCCCGCGGCAGTCCATTACTCTGCGACTGTGCATGCCGCCGCCCGCTGCGCCACTGCAAGCCTTCGCCTTTGTGAGAAATGGGGAGCGTGACTGCTGTGGCGGTGGTCGAATGTTCTCGAATTGGTGCTTTTGGTGATTTCACTTAGAGCGCCGAGCAGCGAGGGGCTGCACACGCCCAGGAGGTGGGAGTGTGTGCTGCAACCGCACCTGCGATTTGCAGTTGGGATGTGACATGTTTCTTTGTATTTTTATTTTTGGTGATATGTGGGGCAGCGGTGTGTTGGCGCGTGCGGGCTGCTCATGGTTGCGTGTGTTGTCTTTCCTGCTGTTCCTCCGCTCAACTCCTTTGCGTGCGAAGGAACAAACGTTTTTACGGGCGTGTGGTGGAGCCGCGTTCTTGTTTGGAAAAAAAGCCTTCCGCAGGCATAATGAGTCTGCCGTCCGTGCCACACGAGGCAGTGGGGAGTTTCCTGGGATTTATTGGCGGGGTGGCACTGCACCCATGCCGTGTGGTAGGTTTGTATTCCGCAATGCACGGTGATGGGGATGTGCGGTGACAACTTCCTCCAGTGAAGCGACACGGGCAGCACGGGGAGCGGAACGGAGGAGTGGTGGCTGCGTGCTTCCAAGTGATACGTGAATGGCGAATGCAATATGAAAGGCAGCATCACGGCACTCTTTTGTGACACGCGCATTGCAGATATTTTCCATAAAGCATGCAAGTTGCACTCTTTTCTGTTGTTTGGGGGATTACCGTGATGCATCGCTGTTGCGGTGTGTATGATTTGTGGTTCTTGCGTGTGGCCATTGCTGCACCGAATTCTCTTCCCACTTGTGTCTGTGTTTGTATGTGTCAGGGTTTATGCCCGCACGTCCTTTTGTCAAGTGTGTGCGGTGGCGGTGCCCCAGGGGTGCGGGACCGTGGCGAGCGGGATGCGTGGGCGAACCCTTCGTGCGCACCACGTTGTTGTTATTGTTTGCTCTCTCCAAAACTGTTTTGGGTGGTTGGCACCCACGCGCCGTCGTTGCGGTTGTCCTGTGCATGTGGTTTTTATCGAATACTGTGTGGATGACTCTCTTGCTGTGGCTGTCAGTCATGCCTGTGACCTTTGTTTCTTACTCTTATTCCTTTTTTGTTTGGTGGTCAGTGTTCGGCTTTAACTCAATCCAACTACGAAAACAGGTATATAATCGATTCCCACGCGGAAGAGAATAATTAATAGTCTCCTCTCAGGCGCGGATTTCAACGAAGTTGGCTGAGGGATGGACATGCTGAAGGGATATTACGAGTCTGTGTACAATGCGAGGTGGCATCATGTCGTGGAAGTCCCTGGTGGCGAGGGGACTGAAATGGAGGTGAAGGAGGGGAAACCGAAACACTCATGGAATTACAAGAAAGTTGGCGACACTCTCGAAAAGGATGACGGTGTGCAGCAATCCGGTGCACCGCGTCCCAGGCTGTTGGTTCTCACCTCGGACAAGGCATGGCCGTACACGTGGGCGGGGAGTGAACATATTTGTGACTGCTGTGTGAACTGTGAGGTTGATCGAGTGTGGCAGATCGTCAAGCGCGATCTAACGGAGTGGTTCAGCCCTCACGGTCGGACCGTGTTTTCGCCTATGAAGCGTGTGTTGATTGGGACGCCCGGGATCGGGAAGTCGATGGGTGCCGGCTCGTACCTTCTCTATCAGCTGCTGCACTACGATGCCGAGAAACTCCCAATGGTTGCGTACATTATTAAGGAATCAGTATACCTGTTTGACAAGACTAAAAAATCTGTATCAGAACTCAGGAACGAGGACGCTTTCGTGGGTCTTTTGCAATATCTCACTCGACGTGGTGTGAAGGGTCATATTATCTACGATGTGGCAAAACAGGGGAGGGAACCGCATCCTGGTTTACCTTTCACTCTGTGGGGCATGATTGTGGTGACACCACCAGACAAAAACAACTTTCAAGGATGGATGGATCAAAATAAAGCAATGGGAATCGCAATGAATTGCCCCGATGAGAGCGATGTGAGGGCATTATGCGTTTGGATGAAGCACAATGAGCCAAGGGAACAAGGTGAATACTGGAAGCAGGTGAAGGAACGCATGGATGAAGTGGGACCGATTCTTCGCGTCATCTTTGACACGCAAAGCTTTAATAACCGGAAAAAAGATATCGGCGAAGCCATAAATGTTGTTGACAGTTCCAATGCTAAGCATTACGTTGGCGTGATGAGTGACGAATTATGGGAGGCTGTGAATGCGTCTCAACTTGTGCAAATTGTCCGACTGAGAAGGGATTTACCGACTGAAACATATCTCAATTCTCCAGCCTCCCATGTGATTGCCAACAAAATTTATATTCATCTATCGACGAAAATGCATTTTATGGAAATTTTTAAGCTACTCATGCATCCCGACGTCATTTTGTTATCTATCTTTTTGGAGATGTCAGGCACGGTCACGTTTATGTGTAGAGGTGCTGTGAATATAATAATAGGAAAACTCAAGGAACTGAAACCACCAGAAGGACGCGCTTTCCAGCCAGCGGCGCTGCAAAGGAACCCTCAAGGGCACCCTACTGAATTTGTTGGATTACCGACAAAGCAAGGCCTTCCTCTGGAGAAGAATTTCGCAAGGTACGGGGTGATGTACAAACCAGCCGTCGGGAACTTTCCGCTTGTGGACGCCTTTTTCTTCATGGAGTCACCGCGGAGGACACTGGTTGGACTGCAGATGACTACGGCACATGATCACCACACCAAAACCAGCACTGTGAAGCAGTTCACTGAGTACCTATCGTGGTTCTTTACGAATTGGGAGGAATTTGCTCAAGGTTTGTCGTGGGAGATTATTTATGTACAACACGCAGACAGCAAGCCGATGGAAAACTGCCAGAGATGTGATGTCGTCAATCCCAACAATGAAACCGACGCTGAAAAAAAAATTGTGGCGTTCTGGGATAAAAAGGTACGCCAGTACCAGTTTGTGTTAACACGTGATTTTGTAAGTAAAATCCGAGAAATGAGAACACAATAATCTTGGGGAAAGGGATAGGGAAGAAAGTTAGGGAAATAATTGGGGAATAAAGTGCATTTTGCTTGTAGTGAAATATATTGGGAGTATTTTAACGATTTTTATATGTGTGTGCCTACGGGGTCTAGACAGTGAATGCCTTTCGTTTCAGAGAACCGTTGTGATCGGCAGTGCCACACTCATCACACACTTTTTATTTTATTTTATTTTTTCCACCAGAGGCGCATCGTCACTGGAGGCTGTTGCGCACTACAGGAGCCGCATAATTTTTTAAAATTTTCATGGGTTTTTGTGAAAAGAATGCCTGAGAGGGCGGCTGGCTGCCCAAATAAATTCATATCTCGCACAAGCGAAGATATCTCTTCACAGCTTTTTTTCTCTTCTATCGCACTGTCTTTTGGGAGACCGCGATTGAGGGAGTCAGGGAGCCGACAGCTGCCAGACGGAGTTACTATTTATTATTTATTATTTTTATTTTTGCTTTCCCACCCACTTTGTGATCCCCACCTTGTGGGTGGAGGAGCCCAAAGGCCTGCCGCTTCGCGGGGGATAAGTGTTTCTAATTCTAACCATCCGCAGGAGTCAAGGGCAGTGATTGACGGAATGTGTATATATTTTGGGGAAAACATTACGGCGAACTCATTGCCTTTCCATTTACCGCTTTTTTTTTCCTTGTCCTTTTTGGATGATTTCAGAGTCCGGCCAGCGGCCCAGAAGATTATTCAGTGTTGTTTCCCTCTCGGTCTCTCTCGGTCTCTCTCTTTCTGTCTTTGACCCTCCTGTATGTGCATGCAACAAACACACAGTGCAGCATTCAAAGTGATATCCTTCCAATGGAGGCGAAAGCCGTTTCTGCTCCCACCAAACCACGACGCCGTCCTTGCAGCTCCTTGCGACAGTGCGGGTGGATGGCAACACGGTGCAGTTGAATTGCCCCCAGCCCCTGAGGGATGCCGGATTTGCGGTTGCTGGGGCCTTGTTTGACGTCGTTGAGGCGTTGGACGTGCCGGCCGCAAGTACACTCTTCCGAAAATTGTATGCCACTGCCGCCTCCAACTTTCCTCATGAACGCAAGAACATGGTGGCCTTCAGCTACGGCGTGCGTTCGTCACCAAGGCGACAACTTATGTACGGCTCTGCAGCTGGAGAAGGATATGCTGCTCGAGTCATCACTGAATTTATTTAGTTAGGTGCCAAAAAGGGCATTTTTGCCCTCTCATGCCACGTCATTGGGTCAACAGAGCACCGCGCAGACCTTCTTGACGACGACAACGAGCTCGGCGTTATTGTGGGCTCCGTGAAGGAGGGACCTCGTCTGCGAATGGTGGTGCGAATTCGTGTCTCATTGGCCGGCGACGCTCGAGCGGCGATGGACACTATTGTCAAAAACTATGAGAAGTAGCTTTTCCCGTGCTGTGTGAAAAGCAGCCAACGCCTGAGCTGGAGACAATGCCTTCCTATTTGCCCGACACCGTCGTTCCTCCGCTTTACCGCGATGATGGTGAGGCGGAGTTTGCATATTACATGGATGCGAACTCCCTGACATTTGTCGCCTTGGGAGATGCCGAAAGACCCGCCTTGTGTGGCATTGATGCCACCGCGCAGCCACACCACGAAGGGGCTCAACGAGCACTGGTGTCGGCAGCAGGAATTGTCTCCAGCATTTACCGCCGTCGTCTGCGCATTCCCTTTGGAAATTCAGAATTCAGTCAGTTGTTGCGCCGAGCGTACAATACGGAAAAAGGCAACCGCAACAATAGCCTCACTGGTTCTACCGAGACGGCTTTATTGGCTCACGCCTTTTCGGATGCCGTGTGGGCGGAGGAATCGTTCCATTGTCTCGACCGGAATCGGATCCGTTACAAGGGATCTTGCCATTGACAAGCGGTGTCTTGATCAGGACATCATGGAGTTGCGGGATGAACTCATGGTTGCCCGGACCGTGTACGACCACAGGCATTGTGGCTATGAATCCAACAGGCCCATTTCAGACATGGAGGAGGAAGGGATGAAGCGCGTCAACGCCATTGAGAGCAACCGTGAGGAGGCGCGGGAACGGCAGCTGAGTGTGTTTTGCGAGCGCTCCAAGCATGAGGTGGAGAAGATGGCCAAAGAGCTTGAGCGGAGAGGTGGGGCCACGTTGAACGAAATTAAGAGGGCTCTGGAGGCAAAAAAGCGGGAGAGCATTGCTCTGCAGGCCGACCGCGAAAGCCGCAATTGGGAGTACGAGCATAAGCTGGAGAAGATCCGAACGAGGAAACAGGACGAGGAGAGTGCCTCTGAGAAGTTGCGGCAGGCGATGCAGCAGCTGGAGCAAGGACTCAGCCTACGGCAGAGCACCATTTGGACGAGGGAGCAGCAGCTCGAGATGTTTCAACTTGACAGGGCGAAGGGGCGAGAGGCCATCATGCGGGAGCGGCATTCCATTGAGGCGGTGCGAAAGACCGTCCGGGAGGAGCGGTGTCGCCAGCGGAGGCAGTGGATCCATCAAATTAAGGAAATGAATACAAAATTCCTGGAACAGTTGCGTCTCTTGGCCGAGGAGCGGAAGAAGAAGCGCGAGCAGGCGAAAGCCAAGGAGGACGCCGCCGAGAGGGCTCTAGCTGCCGACACCAAAACGATCGAGGAGTATTTGCCGAAGCTCATTTCCCTTGAAGAAATTCCTGTGAATCCGGAGGAGACGGGCATCATTCGACGCCAGTTTGACGAGGTCTTCGCGCAATAAGTACAGACATACTTGGCCAGCGCTGAAGAGGAACGGGCCCGCAAGGAGAGGCTGGGACGAGGACTCGAGTTGTATCGACAGCGTATGCTTGATGATTACGTGGCAAAGAAAAATGAAAACTACATGACACCGAGGCAACGGAACACCACCTCAGTTCTGTTGTGGATCAGGTGCTGAATTACTTACGCAACGGGGTCCGCGTGACAACGATACCGAGCAAGGGCAATGGTCGCAGACGCCTATATTTTCTCTCGGAGGACCGCAAACGTATTCATTCCTGTGATCTGGACCATCAGGGATTCCCGTTAAATCGCAAACGGCCTCCAGTCACCATTTGTATACGTGACATTGAAAAAGTTCTCATCGTTCTGTCCACAGCCTCATTTGTGAACTACAGCGGCGAGGCACAGCTGGCAACAACACGCCAGGAGGCAGTTTTTGGCAATGGGACGTACCGCCATGATCCCACGCAAAACATCACTCCATCCAGCCTTGGAATAAACAACCACCGCGCATTCGCACTTTTTCTTCGCGGTGGGAAATCACTGGAGGTGGTTTGTGAGACTGACAGCGATTGCGAGGCTTGGCTTGTTGCTCTCAAGCGTCCACTGCATTTGAGGACTCCTGTGGAAAGGCTTCTTGAGGACCGACGGGGTACGTGAAGAGACGCACGTGTGCAGCCGAGCGATAATGACGTGGAAATGCGGTGGTGTGGCCACTTGACACCCGCAATATGCGAGGATTTGTTTCTTTGGCCCACGATGCAGCGACTCGTTGCGGCGAGGATCACATTCTGCCAGCCCTCTTCCTTCGGGTGGAACAGGAGCTGGCTGAAAAGCCTGAAAGGAGCACAATAACCGCCTATGGCGCCCGAGTTTGCTCGGGCCTGGATCTCTTTTGCTCTGGCCGACTTTACGACTACTTGTGCGAAAAGCGTGTCGTTCCGCCTCCGTACTAATTCCGTGGGATCTTTTATTGTTTCTCTCTTTTTTTTTCCCATGGCTATTTGCGGTTTTCTTGTGTGCTCTTTTAGGTGTATTGAGGCAGCTGGTTAGATAGTGGATAACTGTGGCACGATTTTGTATGGAAAAAGGGACTTTTGTGTCTCACGTGTTTGGGCTATTAGCGAGTGAAGGGAAAAAAAAAGGAAATGATGGTCACCACCACTACTGCTGCTGCTGCTTTTTTCCTTTTCTTTGCTGCCAGTTTGAAATGGGCTATCCATCATTTCTTGCGGGTGTTCCACACCCTTCTTCTTTTTTCCTCTGTTTCTGGATGCGTGTTTTTAGCACCGCCGTTGTGGGGCCGTTGCTTTGCCAACATGCATACGGGGGTGGTGCTCCTTCCCATAGATGTGCCGTGAAAAAAATATTAATATATTTTCAAATGCGCCGTGTGCTTCTCTGTGTGCGTGTAATGTGGGGCTTAGGCCTCACCCAGGCAGGGGCAATGACAACTTTGCATCATTGCGAGGCGGCCGGCGGTGCGGTGCACTAGCACAACAAAATGTGCGTTTCATATCATACAGAGTATTCGCTGCTTTGGGAATCGAACACTTATTTTTTGGTGGAACTACCAGGGCTTATCCACTGGGTGCGGTGCGTTGATTCGGCAAAGGGAACAGAATGACGTCCTCTATGAGGTGTGCCTGTGGAGGGAGAACTGAACTGCTACCTTGGTGAGTATAAAATATTGGTATTTATCTGAAACGAGGGGGTGCATCGCTGTGCATGACGAGACTTTATTTTCATACGGACGTGAGGCGGCGTGTGGAGGAGGCCAACGGGCATGAGCAATACGAGAGCGATGCCATTGTTGCCTGTTGAGATGCTTTGAGCAGTGATGATGATGATGATGCGGCGGACACTCTCAGGTAGAAACGCTCTTCTCGATGTCAGGATATTAAAGTTGCACGGTAATGTGCCGCAGGTTGACCGGCCCTCTTTTTGTGAGGCTTTCCGACACGTCGGTGGAGCTGCTCGGCGTTCTCCAAAAGGGTGTTCTGTTTTGCGCAGGTGTGGCTGCCCGAGGATCGTATCCGCCACGGGCGGACTGAAGTGTGCACGACGATCCTCCGACGGATCCAGCGTGTTGTACTCACCGCACTGGACGATCAATCCCGCATTGGCAACGTTGGGGACTCTCTGCTGTTCCTCATGCCACACGAGGCAGGATGCATCCCATGCGTGAGGACTCTTTATCGCCAAAGTGAGAGGGATCGGTGGCTCCTTTACGGGAAATGAGGCGGCAGCAGCAGCAAGTGGAAGAATTTTGATAC